CCAGTGTCCCATAACGAGTACGTTCAGAAAACTTCATCAGAAAATTTCATGAAAATGAAACCAGGAACTACTAGAAAAATCTAATTGGCCTAAGGATGGAAATTTAGAAATTGAGATACCGGGGCCATTACCCTGCTTTGGCTCGAAGAATTGGAGCTACTTCATACATGTCTATGACAACTTCTTGATTAAGCAGAATTCAGAAACGACTCAGAAACTACCCCCCTCCGGCAAGACTGACTGCAGCGAATGAGTTATAATTGCACTATGAGCCAAGATACAGTTTCGAATTGCAGTTCGGGCAATGTATACAACCCAGCTTTCTGGCAAGGTAGGGTGCCTGAAGAGCAATCGCAAACTGTAACTCGCCCCATAGTGCAATCATAACTCGTTTTTGTGACTGGACTGAAGTTACCCCAAAAAACAATCAGGCCAAAGAAAAGGAAACAAAAAACACAAAAACACTAAAAAAACCTGAAACAAAAACACTTTCCGAGTAAAAATGAAGCGTTCAACGAATCCAACGAAATGCCAAGTTTTTCATTGTTGATCCAAACATGTCAAACCTGGAGTACCTGCTGGTGGGTGCAGCTCCCGCATATTCCCTCGTCGTTGGAGGCTCAAACACGAATGTGGCTGCTACAGGGTTTCCCGTAATACCATAATGACCTAGGCTAGCAGCCGGGCCGCCCCGGTCACCCTATTTTCCCGGGCGGCCCGGCCGTGCAAGGACCAAGGAAGGTCCCAGCCAAAACAAAAAAAAATCCAAAAACTCCGAAAAACAACTATGTTATGCAGAAGAATAAACTGAACAACTTTTGCCTTAGGGTCACATCAAAATTCTTTACCAAATTTTAAATAAAAATTTAAATAAAAAAATAATTTTTATTTTCTTAAAAAAATTCTTTTTGGCCCGGCTGGGCAAGTGGACCCGGGCCACTCTGGTAGCCTAGATAATGACAATAAAAAAAAGGCCTCAAAGGCCGTCCTGTCCAGATTTGACAGATAATTGAATTGGCTGGGCTTAAAGAATTAGCCTTAACAACAACAACAACAACAACACCCTAAAGCAGCTACATATCACACAAACAGAAAAACACAAAAAAAAGGCAAAACTTCAGGGCAATATGACAGTTTCAGTGCAAAATTCGCCCACGAAAACACCACCCGTTAACATGTGGACAGGTCCCTGCAAAATTAAAGACAAAGTAAAAAACATCTGGAAAAAAAACTGTCCCTGCAAAAATAAGAACAGAGTCCAAGACATCTGTGGCATGGGGGCTCGTTCCACACTCCTCGGGGCATCCTTGGGGCCCGAGGACAATTCCTTGGAGTCCCCCGAGGAAATTCCCGCCTTCGTTCCACTCATCCTCGGAAATGTTCCCCGAGGACGATTCCTCGGGTGCTCCCTCGGCCAGTTGCATATTTCGACACGCGGACGCGGGGGGGTTGGCGAGGTTGGTCCAGCGGGTTGTGTCTGTGGCGTCGCCCTTGGTCCAGGAGCTGTGGGCGGCGCGGATTCGAATTTACGCGGCGAAAAGAAAAAGGCTACGTAAACGGCGCGCAGTCCCGGATTCGAATTTCGAAATTCGAATCCCAGCAAGCGAATGACGGAGGCGCGTGTGTCCCTTACGGCTGACGGCAGCAACGTTCGTCGGCGAGACTGTTTCGGTACGGGGTGGCGGCTTCGTGGGGTCTGCTGGCACGCCGAACGTCCATGAATACGTCCGAAGCAGCACGGCCGCCGTCACACGATCGCCAACGTTGTGTGCTTCGCTACGTGCGCCTTCGCCGTCGATGTGCACGCTGTTCAGTCGGGTTTTCACTACGCGCCATCGCTGTTGTTCCCACCGAAGTTGAGCCTTCTTCACTTGGCGAGGACGAGCGATGGACGTGGACGGGGACGCGGTTCATGACACACTCAGCAAGGCGGAGAGGGCGTCTGTGGCAGCGGCCGTGAACATGATACTCATCAGGTGTCAATTGCAGAGGACGGAGGGGAGGATGAGAGCAGCCATTCGCGCACGCCGGAAGAAGACGCTGCAGTCCCTTCATGTGGACGAAGAGGGCAGTGGTGCCATTTGCGACGCTGTCCTTCAGGTGTGCTATGCCATGGGGTGTGGAGCGTTTCCCAGAGCGACGCCGAGGTGGTGGATGAAGCGTCGAACAGGGGGGGGTGGGAGGATCTGCGGCAATGCGACGACGCAACGGAAGACTACTCCAAGGACAAGCTGCGCATGTCGCCAGGGGTGTTCCGGGAGATAGTGGAAACTCTGTCTCCCTTCCTTCAACGGCGTGTGACGTTTTATAGGGAGCCCCTCCAGCCTGACCTCATCGTAGCGTTCGCTTTGTACAGATGGGCGTCGGGGGACACGTATGAGAGCGGGACGTGCAACTTCGGCATTGGCAGAAAGTCTGGGTTGGTGGCTGTGCGGGATGTTACTTCGGCGTTGCTGAGTGCGTACAGTGACAAGATATCGTGGCCAATGGGGCTGCAAAAGGCGGTCGTCTTGCGCGCTTTCGCTGACAAGGGTTTCCCCAACTGCGATGGCTGCATCGATTGTACCCACATCTTCATCGACAAGCCAGCCAATTGCCCCGGAGAGGACTACTACGACAAAAAATGTCGTTTCTCCGTCCAGGCTCAGGTGGTCGTCGTCTGAACTTGCGCGTGCTGGATGTGTTCGTCGGATACCCGGGGAGCTGCCACGACGTGAGGATCGTCCACCTGTCCAGTTTGTGGGCGCGTGCGGAGGCAGGGGAGCTTTTCACTGGGCCACCTATCATGCTGCCTTTCGGTGTGCGAACGAACGGCTATCTACTGGGCGACAACGGTTACCCCCCCTCGGAATGGGTAGTCGTCCCCTACGGCGGTGTATCGCAGCACCCGTCGGAGATTCGGTTTGACAACAAGCAGAAGACGGCGAGGGGAGCAGTCGAGAGGGCTTTCGGCAGATTGAAGGGGATGTGGAGGTTGTTCCTTCGCTCCCACAAGACGAACATGGACACGTTGCCGCAGCAATTCGTCGCCGTCTGCATTCTCCACAACATACTCATCGACGCGGGCATCCCGTTCGACGACAATCTGCTGTGGGAGGTAGGGCCGGACGGTGTTCGTCGCAGGGTGGACCTTGGGATGCACCGCCCGTTGAGGCAGATGTGTATGGAGTCGTCGACGGGGGATGCGCTGATCCTGCGGGATGCACTGGCGGAGCGAATGGGTACGAAGTGAAGACGAGCAGTCGTCGGGAGCGGTCGGCATGCACAGAGAGAGAGAGAGAGAGAGAGAGAGAGAGAGAGAGAGAGAGAGAGAGAGAGAGAGAGAGAGAGAGAGAGAGAG